TAACATAAATATCAACCTAAGCTAGTTTTGCTATTAGCCGATAGATGAAATATTGAGAAGTGGGCGGAGCTGAACACCCCGCATCCCGCAAATTATCACGCGTCGTTTCTTGAGAAAATTTAATCACCACACCTCCTCTTTGTTTTTCCTCCGTGGGTTGCTCCAACGAGTGCCCTTCAAGGCACTGGAATATTTCTTTATATGCATACATGCAACTTTTGAAACACTGCAAGCAAATTCGAGCGTAATAGTTTCTGTCAGAAGCTTTGACTCGTTCCTTGAATATTTTTCTAAGAACCATTTCACTGTTGATGCAAACTTTATAAACATCGACAGACGGATAAATCAGTCCACCAAAGTTTTTCTTATCAATCAGCTTATGAAAATATAACCCACTTGGCGTAAAAAGACTGTCAGTGCATGATCGCCATTTAATTTTTCGGTTAATTTATTTAGATACAAAACCTGATATGTACCCACTATTTGCTCAATACTTTCCGGTGGCACTGAAGCATCCAACATTTCATTAAATATGTCACAATTTTTTCCTTCCTGCGTATCCTTCTCAAACGCACCCTCTGTTTCTTCGGCTTCTTCAAATCGATAGCCAGTTACAGTACGACTGATTGTCGATACAGCTGATGAATAATTTAAAATTGGATAATTTTCCAGAGGGATGCAGTTTCCAGTGAAATTTGATTTCAGTTCGAAGTGGTTAAGCAGTTTTCTGAAATCACCGCTTAGTTGACGGGCATCAGGGTTATTATTGCGCCCCCCATGACTTCGAATATTACTGAAAAATAATTCTACGTGGTCCTGTGAGTACTTATATGATGGAAGATACTGTATCACTTCAGCCTTCTCAATCAGTTCTTCATATAAATTTCTTAAACTGTTAATACAAATAATTAACCCAATAAATCCTGTTTTATTTCTAGTTTCAGTGATCGGTTTTTGATAAATAGTGGTTGTACTTATTTTCTTTTTTTATACGTCTTTACATGTGTTATTGGCACTTCTATCTTTAATGCTTTTAAATATTCTTCGGCTTCGTTCAGTAGTCTAAAATGTTGTTCTTTGTTTTTTGCACAAATTGGCTGTTTGTAACCGTTATTTTTGATTGATCTAGAATTTAAAACGTCGAATAGGTCATTCATTATTTGCACCATTTTAGTAGTTGCTGAAGCATCATTGAACGTACATAATTTAAGTTCATTTTGACACAAATCCAAAGTACTTGCAACGCTTCTGCTAAAAAGTTGGGTAGCGAGTTTAACTTTCATGATTTGGTTACGAAATTTTATGTGTTGTTCAGTGACCTTGTTTGCAAAATGCATGCCTAAGTTATCCTGCAACTTTTGTAACTCAACGAGATATTGCCATTGTATAATTTTTCCATTTGAATCTATAAATTCCTTTTTTGACTCCAGTGTATTTCTAACCAACTTAACCATATGACATGGATCAAGCATGAAGTAAACGTTTGTGCTTTTGACACTTGGATGTGGAAAGTGCGTTTTTAAATTATGAATGTCATCTAGTTTACAGCCCAATTCGTTGGCAGCTGCAAAATTTGAGGCGCATCCATCAAAAGTAAGCGTTTTTACTATGGCTCCAACTTCGTGACATTTTTCTAACGTTCTTTTGATAATATTGGCTCTTTGTTCGCCTGAAAAGCCGTTTACTAAAAAATATCCCAAAGTTAAATTAAAAGAATCGTTTATTGACACTAAAATGACACAGTATGCTTGAGTTGCTATTTCCTCTGTATTTTCTTCGAATGAAACTAATCCTTCCATGAATTTCCCGTTGAAAATCTTTTTAACTTGTAATGCCCGAAATGCCTCCTCCGAGAAACCTGGTTTCCCATCTATGCTTTGATACCACTTATTAAGCGTCACCTCTGTATTTATAATATGTAAAAGTGATATAGGTACTTACCACTAGTTTATATTTAGGTAAAGCTGTTTTCTTTAATCTCCGTAGGCCTTTGTTAGTGGTATAAAAATCCGATTCATGAAAATGTAAGGAGCAAATAGAGGCACGTTTTGAAGGTCTCCAATTGGGATCCCTTGTAAAGAGTATGGCATTAATCCAATTTTCTCGCCTCTCTGCCGACTGTTGAAATCTAGATAAAATTAAATTAATAACGAGATAAAAAAATAAAAGAAAATGATCATAACAAGTTTTTTAGATATACATTTTTTTTATCTGATACACTCACACCTCAAACTAAGCAGAGTTTGTACTATGAGAGCTAGGTAACGGATATTAATACATAATGTCATATAAACATCTATGACTCTGGTGCAAATGTCCGTATTCATCACACAAACATTTTCCCCCTACGGGATTCGAACCCGCGACCTATGGTTCTGTTCCATAGGCCGCGGGTTCGAATCCCGTTTACTAACCACTAAATCAACAGGCCTCTCAATATCCTATCTTACGTATTAAACCTTTACCATTCAAACATAAGAAAATAGTTTATTTTTTAAAGAAGCCGTCTCCACTTTACACAACCAGATGAAATGTATGAGAGAGTAATTTTTGTTTTTTTCTTATCAAAAATTGTATTTAAACGCATACTCACTCGTGAAATGTAATTCCAGTAGTTTTAGTGTGCTTTCTTGTATCACTTTTACATGTTTTGATCGTGCAAGTCGGCATTTTTGCAATATTAGTGACGAGAAACACTGCGAAATTGAAGGGCGGTCGCGTAGCTGCCAACGACAGACTGAGCGGGCGAGGAGTGGAGTTTTTAAATTGAGCGGAGTTTTCATGGAACGCGATTCGAACCTACTTGCTGTATCTAGGCTTTCTGTGATCGAAGATTTTAGGTCCTTACATATGAAATTAGCGTTTTGTCGTACTGACTTTGATTTGAAATATCTCCTCCTTGGTTAAGAATTCCAAATTCAAATTTATAAATCAAGCTCTATACAATGTAAACATTTTGGATATTTTCTTAACCGGAATCTGAATAAGGAAAACAAAGGTATTTTGCCTCTGGATTTGGACAAATAGTACATTAATGGAATGTGTAGTTCTTACCCAATACACTATAAAATAAATGGTTTTTATTTTGTGCACTTGAATGTACATTATAGCACAGGTAAGTCATTTTGCCCAAGATGCCGTTTATACACTTTAGACGTTCTACTAGTATGACGATTTTGAATTTCAAACTGCTAAACGTTTTACTAAACGTCAATTATCCCTCTAGGGCATTTTACTTGATTGTCATTCTGATACGGAGGAGTTAAAGGACATTGGGCAAAAATGTATGGACGCTGCACCCATGGCTTAAACTACATTTGTTTGAAAAGTATTATAGTCATGATCATCTGTGCCAAAGCGCATTAAATTCCATCCCGGGGGTCTTTAGTTATTTTAGGTTGAATAGGTACAAGTACTATACCGAACAAACATTAATGAAACAAGGGAATTAATTAAGTTAGTTCGACCGTAAATAGAGGGCTCAGGTATTATGGGAGTACTTCACGAGGTGCAAGGGTGCCCCTAATGTTATTCTGCCACGCTAAACTAAATCCAAAAATCCCCGCATGGGTTCGGGTTTTTTCAAACAGTCTGTTCGTTGTAGTAAATTGCCTTCTATGTAAAACGGAGCGACCACAATTCACACAAACTGGCCCAAGCTAAGGAGAAAACTTGATTCCAGTTCATCCATACTAATTGACAAAACCGATAAACGTGTTCCAATGGCCAATACGTGTTAGATAAAAATCAATCAAGTGATATCACAACGAAGTAATACAATTGGCAAATTAGTGTAAAAATAAAAAAATAGTGCCTCTTTAATTTAAGAAATAAAGACCATTTTTACTGTGTACGCTACCATGACGTCAAGCTAGCGTACCCATGGCCGACCCCAAGAATGGCATATATTTAAGCATCGAAATGGACACACAAAAATAGTTCGCAAATAGTGCCCTGGCTTTACAAAATTTCATAATCAATACTCTTAAAGGACCAAAGATATTGAACTAAACATTCTTAGCTGGCGTCAACCTGGCGTACCCATAATAGTTCTCATAGAAAATGAACTTTTCTCGTTATCAATTCTATATGTATAAATAGTGTGTCAAATGGTGCCTCTAACAGTAAAAGTATTTTATGTGAATCCGCATCACAACAATACATAAAGAGGATGTTAAATTCTAGGAACAAATGTATTGTAGTACAGTTGCACACAAAATTAATTTATGCACTAAGAGATTATCTATATATGTATTTTTACTAAAATAAATAGGTACTTTTTATAAAAAGATATTTTATTTCAATTCGAATTCACCAATCATAAATTCATGTAAGAATTTCAACCTACCTACTAAGTACCTTACTTACCTACTATACTGCGAAAATATTATCTCTTCTGTACATGACTGTACTTTATAAATAAAAATAATTTAATTGCTTTTTTATATTGTTTTACTGCGATTTCACATAAAATACTTTTACTGTTAGAGGCACTATTTGACACACTATTTATACATATAGAATAGATAACGAGAAAAGTTAATTTTCTATGAGAACTATTATGGGTACGCCAGGTTGACGCCAGCTAAGAATGTTTAGTTCAATATCTTTGGTCCTTTAAGAGTAATGATTATGAAATTTTGTATAGCCAGGGCACTATTTGCGAACTATTTTTGTGTGTCAATTTCGTTGCTTAAATATATGCCGTTCTTGTGGTCGGCCATAGGTACGCTAGCTTGACGTCATGGTAGCGTACACAGTAAAAATGGTCTTTATTTCTTAAATTAAAGAGGCACTATTTTTTTTATTTTTACACTAATTTGGCACTATTTACGCAGTATTTAATGGCATAACGAAAGACTGTATATTGATCGTGGGTACGCTAGCATCACGGACACCATTAGTAGGGTCGCGGCCCCCGAGCTACCATCATCCAGCTCGGTGGAAGATCTTCCCATTTGGCCGTCCTACAACAGTAATAATGATAAATGTAAACTTACTTGAAAACATAATGCACCACCGACTAAGACATCGTTTGTACAGTTTTCGAGGCGCGGTAAAACTGTGCTGTTGTTTGAGTTACTACCACTTTTCATTAGGAGCGAAGAAAATATAGCTGCAAGCAGATTTAGTGTTGGCATTATGTTAATGTTAAATTATATTGTTATATCTATTTTGTTTTTCTTTAATTTTTTGACATAAAACATTAAAAAAAAATGGATGCGTGTAACTTATGTACGCGCGTGAGAAGTTAGTATAACTTCTCACGCGCTTTAGCATCATTAAAAATATTTTTTAATTGCATGCAAATAATTAATAATTACAATAAAATAATAAAAGGACTGGAAAAGGATAGTTAACACAGTCAATTAAGTTCAGTTTTAATTTGAAAAATTAAATAAATATTCAAAATATTCAATTAAAATCACTACTGAATTTAAGTTATTAGTCCATATGTAATTAGCACTTGTAAGTAACTAAAACACGTTGTGTCTATATAGAAATTAGAAACATGTGGATAAATATTATAAATATGAAAACAGTGATCAGAGGCGACGAGCGTGCCAACATTGTTTTTGACAACGCGATCATCTTATGGAGCTCCGTGGATCGTTCAAAGTACCTTTCGAACAGATGTCTAATAATGGTGGATTATTAACCACTAAGTGGTTAATAATCCACCATTATTAGACACTAACATTCATAACGCGCCCGCGGCCAACTTCATGGTGTTACTATTGTGTTACAGTGATGCGCGCGCATCTCGAAATTTCACTCACATGATTTTTTCATAACGCGCCCGCGGCCAACTTCATGCTGTTACTTTTGGGTTACAGTGATGCGCGCGCATCTAAAAATTTCACTCTCATCATTTTTTCATAACGCGCCTAAAGAAGTATAACTTCAAAAAGGGAATTTAGGTCAATGCATACCATCGATCAACAATTCTATAGATTAAGAAAAAAATTAAAGTTGCATACAAAATCAAAGCCAAAAACTGTCCGTGTATGTTTAAACTTATGCAGCTACATTAGATTCCCAATGAACAAAGATAAATGTTTTAAAACAGTTTAAGTTGAACCTAATAATAATATCTCACAAAGGAATATGGTTACAAACATAGATGAATGATTGGTCTCGCTTCACTCCACTAGATACCGCACTATCAAAAAACAACAGCTCTGTTTATGCGGCAACTCATTATTGTAGTGTGTGTATGTCACTTTGCAAGGACGGTGGCGCATGTCAAAAAAAGTGTAGCCAGCTACTCAACTGCTACCCCAGTAATAGGGAAAATATTTTATGCTGTTGTCGATCCACACTAACAATACCACTTACAAAATCCGTACATAATATATGAATATATGTATATATATCATTTTTAGTATTTTTTTTTTTGCAAATATACGTGATGCACGGAGGCGCGGATCCTATAATTTTATCTCGCTTGCATTTTAGTTAGTTTCTTTATTTTTATCCCACCTGTCAATAGTTTGGTTACAAATTCTTATAAATGCCTCCGTGGTCTAAGTGGTATGTACGCCAGTTTTGATGGTATCGGCCTTCATAGGTCATAGGTCTCGGGAGCTAGGCTAATAGATATGAGACTTTCGATATATATAAATATTTATATTTATTATACATTTAGTATCTTAATAACTCTTTAAAGTCACTGGTGTCGATTCTGACTTGATTCTCTAAACCTAAACTTGACATCAGTGTATCCTTGTCATTCTCTATACAGAATGAAAAGGAGAGACTGATCTTAAATTTAGTTTTAAGTTTAGAGAATCATGCCAGAATCGACACCAGTGTTGAGTAAATTTATAATTATTATTAACCATGCAGACACTAGAAATTCAAATTAAACTATAATAACAATATATATATGATTTTATTTATTTTTTAAGCATTTAACTGCTAGATGTTTAAATCTAAAGAAAAGTTTACTAGAAAATATATATATATATAGTTAAAACTATTAAAATGAGCAGGTTAACGCAAGAATAAAGTTTATTATCAAAAATTCAAAATTATATGCCACTAACTTGCACAAGTTTACGATAAATTTGCCTTTTAAAAATTCCTGATTTTTGCAAATTTTCTTTCTTCGAAATGTAATGGAGTCGTATTTGTATGAACTTCTCCACTACTAGACAAATTAAATTAATTTCATGTATGGCACCATTAAAATGACTTGAATCGAAATCAAAATATCTTTTACACCATAAGCTATTCCTGAGGCCCAAGCACGAGTTTATGACAGCTGCTTAACGCTAACGTATCGCATCGCCAAAGTTTCTATGAAAAAACTAAGCAGCGCCACTAACACCATGTATAAACTAGCTTTTTCCATACAAAATTTTAACATTACGATACTTTACGAAGCTATCAAAAACTCGTACTCGGGCCTCTGTGCTCAATTTCATTCAATTAATTTCAACATTTTTTCCAAAAATTGTGATGTTTTCTTCACCCCATATTTTCAATTCACTGACACGAATAGTTTGTATTTCATAAAGAGGTCAAATGAAATGGGTCATATAACAGTATATTCATATTATAAAAATCTCAACCATAGGGACTTTTATATTGCGTACTTGGCAATACTAAATGACGTTTATTTTTCATGAAATTTTACATCGAAATTTCGAGATTATAAGATACTTACTGATGGTATGTGATCCCAGTGTCCTTTTTATTTTATAAACTATTATTCTTACAAAGTTTCACAACACAAACTGCCATTTTGCTGCGGATTGTGCTCTAAATTGATTAAAATATTCGGGACTGACACCTTAAGCGCAGCTGTCAATGTGACTGACACGGTGAAGGCTCGGGTATGCCGATTTCGGCATAGTATTTGTTGCCGCATTAGACAAGTACGCCGGCGGTATCTAGTCGAGTGAAGCGAGACCAATCATTTATCTATGGTTACAAATAACAAAATGTTATTTCGCACATACAACCTTTTATCTTATAAAACGAACTCTTGTTCCTATTATAAATTATATCTGATGCTTGGAAAAAAACGATAAGGGTGAAACAAGGAAAATGTGAAATCAGCCTTATGACCCAGAAAATAAAATATTTTTACCAGTCGTTGGTCAGCAAGTTACTTTGTGTTGTATTAACTGAACTATTTAGCTATATTTACCGAGACGGGTTTTAAGCGCTGACCCGTTATCTATAGAATTGTTGATGGAAGATGCATACACAAAGAATTATAGTCTGTCCGCATTTTTTCATGATTTTGTGAGTTCATTTACAAATAAGTAAATGTAAAAATACTAAAGTAAGTGTATACGTACAAAACTTTTGGCCAGATTCTACTGTTGTTGCTGTTACATAATTTTTAGCCAAATCTTTCAGATACTCTTGCCGCGTCCGTGTTGCCATAGTACTAAATTTTGGTGACTGTATAGCAGCGTTTTCACCATTTATAACCTAAAAATAATATTTCAATTTATAGTTTTAATTTCATAGCCGAATATTTTATAGATGTACTTTAACTAAACCCACCTTACTAAGTAGTAAATCAGTGAAACCTTCACCCTTTGGGTAAACTGCTCCATCTTTGATTGGAGGTCCAAATAAGGGCACTTCTTTAGCACGACTCACAGCTATACTGTAATGAGTGTTTTCCGTACACGGATCTATCACTCGGACTACAACGAATACGTGTTGAAATTGAGAGCGTATATTCCGAGGCGTGAAAGGCGCAGCACCCGGTTCTTGGAATACTATAGTAACAATATCATTGCCTATATGCCTCTTCCGTAATAACTGTTGCCGATTATGAGGTGTGTAAGGTAGCATCGTTGAAACGTGGAACATTATCTCACAACCTTGGTATGTGGTATACACTGAATAGAGACCTGTCGAATCTGTCCTGTTGTCGAGGCCCGCTTTATACTTATCGAAATCCTTTAACCTAACTGTCTGACCCAACATTTGTAGAAACTCTACAAATGCTGGGCCTGCTTCCTGGTTATTGTACATCTCTTCTTCTGTTGCTTGTCCACTTTTGCAGTACATGATACCAACTTTATAGTGTCTCGTTACGCATTGTTCGTCGAGACGCAACAACTGCTCTTCCGCTCCGCCGTTTGTGATTCCAAGTCTGAAACCGATAAATTATATTTAGCTTGCTGTATCCACATTTATGTCTTATTTTAAAACCTCTCTTTTATTTTTTTCAAATCAAAACAAATCAAAAATCATTTATTCAGTGTAGACTGTTACAAGCTCTTGAGAAGATCAAGAGGCTACGCTATCGGTTCGCAAAACTAGGCGGGAGACCTTGTACTGAGAAGAACCGGCAAGAAACGCAGCAAGGGCTGTTTTCCCCTGTATTGTTATATACAAAGTCGTCAAGTTGAAAAATGACTTCTATATAAAGATATATATATATAAAGATATAATTCTTCTGTGAGTGTGTATGTCACTGAACTTCTCTTAAACGACTGGACCGATTTTGATGAAATTTTTTGTGTGTGTTCAAGGGGATCTGAGAATGGTTTAGATTCACAATTTTGTCCGCTGGACAATGTTTTTTTAATTAAATTTTTTTATGGCGGTACGAAGTTCGCTGGGTCAGCTAGTATTTATATATAAAGGAAGCGGCTTCAGATAGGTACCATATTACTGTTATAAAAAAATAATAATTTTTGATTTTTGATTTGATAAGAGTATTCTTGATCTGAAATTTAAATTTGGTCCGTGGAAGCTCAATTAGATCTTGGGGAACTTTATTAAACAATACTATACTACAACCCAGAAATGAACCTCTTGATTTTTGGAGCCTGAAACATGGAACGGCAAGCTTGTTCTTAAATCTCGTGTTAAAGTTATGGGTTTGACTTTTTTTTACAAATGCGTCATAGTTTTTTCTTACACATATTATATTTTCATAAATGTATTGCCAGTGTTAAAATATTTATTTATTTATACTTTTCAGTATGAAAATACTTTCGATATTAACAGCTGAGCCCCACAACAAAAGGCCATATGACATAACGCTAAAAAAGTAACCAAAGTAAACCAATCTTGCCGTTTCCACATCTAGTACAGTCAATCTGTAGGTTGAGTGGTGAAAAAAAAACCTAAAGGGTAAGTCTTGTTTTTTTTGCACTGCAAATGTGTACTTGAACTGCCCAAAACCGCTCTATTGGATTTTTCATACCTCTGCGCAATTTATAACTTGAAAACGGTAAGTAATACAAAAAAATTGTTTATACAAAAGTTGTTGGTAATTATGTACGAAACAACTTTGCCATTTAAAGTTTTCTATTAAAATGATATTTTCAGGGTGAAAAAGTGAAAAAACACTTTTTTTGAGACTTTAGCGCCACCTACAATGCGCATTTTTTGTTGTACGAGATTGCAACAATGACATAAATTGTAGCACTCAACGCACTCTACAATTATGGTCGAAAAAAAAGTTTCTAAAATGCATACAAAACAAGAAAAAAGCGTTTCAAAAAATTTTTGACAGATTTTTTAAGTTTTTCAAAAAACGCCTACGAGTTGAACATGCCCATCGCCAAGGTGGCTTACTGACGTCATTTGGCAACAGAAAAAACAAGACTTACTTGAAAACCTTCGGCGGGCAGAAATAACAAAATAAAATCGAAAGCGTTAGCGTTTTCCAAAGCATTGCCGTCAGGCGAATGGCCCCCAGTTGAGTCTTATTTTTTTAACAGCGAAAGCTGCAGATCACAGTCTACTTGATAAGACATCTTATCATTGTGAGGATCCCATTGCAGATGCGAGTATAAAGTAATATCCAGAAACTTTTAAAATCTACTAATTCTACAGGCTGATCATTTATTTTTATAGTAGTACTAGCTGACCCAGCGAACTTCGTACCGCCATGGGGCAGATGGAAGAAGAGAAAATTTGGGGTTGTATGTATTTTTAATACCACATTATAAAAAAATAAATATTATTCCAAAAAAAAATTTAGGGGTGTGCAACGTAGTGTTCTATCAATTTCCTGGGATAACATTCCTCCTAACCCATATGAGAACACTACGTTACAATACTATAGTTTGAATTCTGGCGCGAAGGCGCTTTGTAGGTTTCAGAACTACGTTCACTACGTTACAGGTGGACAACCATTATCACTTAAGGATATGAAAAGTAGATAGTAGCCGATTCTCAGATCCATGGAATATGCATATAAAATTTCATAAATATTGGTCTGGCCGTTTCGGAGGAGTATGGTAACTAACATTGTGAGACGAAAATTTTATATATAAGATTAACCTGCCTTACATTAGGTAGAGTAAACTTAACACATTTTGTTTTACTGAAGTTTACAATGCTTACCGTAGGCAATTTAGTTGCATTTCAGGAGCGACATAATCCAGTACTTCTTTAGTACAATAGGTCGCACTATTGTTGCTTGGTTTAACAGTGAGTAACGCATCTTCTAGGACTGAACCACGTAGGGTAAGCAGTTCTGAGGTTCGCACGATTAGCCGGTACTGCCATGCGAGTTGAGACGCGGGTGCTGACACGTCTGCACCACCTCTACGGAGCTCCACCCGTTCTTTTTTTATAGAAATGGCTATAGGACCTAAATTATCATCCATTCCAAACCAGTTTTGATGAGCTGTAAAAGTTTAATTCTTATACTATGCAGTCAAGAAAATCGTATCGTTATCTAAAAACAATAACGGATCAACCGAATATGAATGTTCAGCTGAACATTCGTGATCCATTTGATGCCTAGGATGATATAATCACTCAACTTAATAACTTAGCGTATCGATAGTCAATCCGTTGAAGATGACGACGGTTGAACAGAGACTCAACCAAGAGGGCCAACTTTGGTTTAGATTTTACAACTGTAGCGATAGTAGTTAACAAAAGAGATGTAATATTCAATTTAACTAAATGAACACAATGTTTAACCATCTGGTCTGGTTAAATGGCGTACTCAATTACTAGTTTAGGCTAGTTGTTTTTCAACCATTTCATTAGATGCAGGCGTTCAATGAACGGCATAACGACCTAACGACTACAACATATATTCTTTGAAGAACCTAGGTTACCTTTCGCAACGAATGTAAGTGTGGGTGAAATTGGATATAAAAAGCAGTAAATTGTGGGCATAATATAGGGTGAAATTGAATGTTTCTATGAAACTTCGTGCGATTGTTGGGTTATGTGTATAGAGTATGCCTGTTTTTTTTCGGATTTTTTTGAAGTATGTATTTATTTATAATTTGTGTATTTTTATGTCCTTTCCTCCTTTTGAGTAGTTATTCATTTTAAACAAACAAACTTACATATCCAGTGAAAAACAACTAATAAATAAGCACTTCTAAAAAACGGAAAAACATTAAAATTCCACCGCGGGTCAACGACCGACCGCGCCCGCCAGCCGTTGAGTGAATAGGTACCTAGCTCTACACAGAGCTCAGCTGACTCGTTTGATTCCACACAATACAATAAAATCGTCTTAGATACCTTTATTGAAATTGAAATAATAAGCACAAATGTCATCTACTCTTAAGCAGAGAAAAACTTTAAAAGTTAATAATAATTTTGTCACGATTGGAAATAGGCAAATGTTAAACAAAAAGAAATACTTATTGCAGTTCAATACTTGGGTCAGAATGAAATTTATAACCAGGTATTCAAAAGTACTTACGAGACCGGCGATGTAGGTAGGTACAACGAGGAACGAGGAACATATTCATTTTTTTCACTAGAACTTTTTATCAAATCAATCACACTGGTAGTACACAATTAGTTGTTTCTAATCAAAAAGTATTTACACTAGCAATAAAAAGAGACTTAAATTATTATCTGCAAAATTGTTGATCTAAACCACCATTTTGCTGCAAACAAAGGTAGGCATGTTTGCGGACGTGTCTTTTCACCTTTTTTAAAGTGTCCCTATCACTACTCACTGCACAAAATGCAACTTCTATGGTTTGGGGACTCATTCGTAAACCAAACCTACTTCGTCACACTCGCGATGGCAGTACACCATCTCTAAATATTCTTGGTTCGTATACCGAGGCATAATGAAATTATCACAGTGTATGTCACTAAGTCAAAAGATGCGCACGGCCACGCGCGATTGATATACTTGCGACTGCGTTTTGCATGCAATCAAAGCAAACCACCGCGTGCGGGGAAGAGGGGAGGTGGGCGGAATTCACATCATCAAAGACGCAGCAACCGGCGCTAGTTGCCAGCGTGCGGCGCGCCGCCCGCCCGTGCTTGTCGCAAAACAACATATTGTTATGTGTGTGTGTGTGACTGTGGCTGTGATTAAATGTGTTGGGAATTTCATGACGTGGGCAAATCAGACACGAAGAGTTCCTTCCTTCACTAAGCTCGTAAGTTATACCGATTTGCTCTGTATGATTTTCCCCAATTTTAAATAAGCCGTTTGTGCTTAAGTTTTAATTAAACGAGGCAACTAACATTAACAATAAAAAAGAAGTTCTTACACTAACAGACAGGCTTTACCGATTTAAAATCGTGACAGTCATATTAACTTAATAGGATTTTTAATTGCTCTAACAGAAGATTTTTTTTATTGATTAATTACCTGTGCTTTATGAAATAATATTCAAAGGTATTGTGTATCAGTGAATAAATAATTATAATATAGCATCTGACTATTTTATTGTAATGTTTTTTAATAGTGTGGATCAAAGCGGAGAGTAGGTAAGCGCCGAGTCATCTGCGCGTGTAGTAGGTACCTACACAGGCGGCTGCCGGTCGTCGCCCCGACCGGCGCTGATCTCGACTGGAGGCATAATGAAGGCATTCATTAAGTTTCCGTTTTTTTAGTAGTGCTTATTTTAAGTTGCTTTATAACTTCTATGTAGACGTGTTTAAAATGAATAATTACTCATAAGGAAGAAATGACAAAAAAATAACCAAATAAAAAATTAAAAAACGAAAAATTTTATTTTAAAAAATCCGAAAAAAATCAGGCATACTCTATACACGTAAACCAACAATCTCACGAAGTTTCATAGAAACATTCAATTTCACCCTGTATATGATTTCATATTCGGTTGAATATTCACACTAGATATGACGGGCTATTTTAAATTATATGTGAGAAGTGAGGAGGAAAATGTCTCCGGCCACTTATTTATTTAAAGTAATTCGCGGTTAAATAGGGAACCCAGAGCTTCTTCATAAAGTTCAGTTGTGCGTGCCCAACGAGCCCAACACGGGGGGACGGAGGCCGCGCACCAACCTGCAACACAGCACGCCTCTCACGCGTGCTTTGCACGCGCTCAACACGCTGTCACTACTCATTGACTTGTTTCTATGCACATTAAATTAATTTACACAGGCCACTTAATGTCAACTATCATAAAAATGATTTATGCCTTGTATTGTTGTTGTGTGTGGACGTATGTGCGTGTGCTTTTTACCCGGCTGCGCAATGCAAGAGCGCGAAGCGCGACGCGCAGTCAGGGTTATGTGTTTAACAGTCTATATATGTACGTTTGTTCCTTTGTGGCACACTAGAGACCAAACGCCTGGACCGATTTTGATGATTCATACATCAATCGATTCGTCTCAATCATGGGAGTGCTACTAAAGATATGATAGTAATCAATATTGTGACGAAGTAAAAAAAATAAGTTAACAAAATATGTCGAGTGGGGTATCACTGTCTAGATAATCAAAAATCATATTTAGGTTCCTATCACCATTTTTCATTTTATATGATTGTTTAGGATCTACAACGCTTTAAAGTTGTATATTAACCACTTACGCTTTTAATTTCAATCTTACGTTTGTATGGATCTTTGTTACTCTTTCACCTTAAAAAATACTGAATGGATTTTAATGAAACTTAACAGTAATATAGCTCATATATGATAATTACATATATGTAATAATTTATGTAGTTATTGAGTGAATTGGCCAATATATAACAATAAGTGTCACATAAGACGGAAAAAAAGGTAAATTTAAAAAATCAAAAAATCCGACTGCTTATTATACTTTAAATAAAAACTGAAAAGAAAAAAACAAGTACAGAAGTCTATAATTCTGTTAATAAGGAACAAAGCTACTTTAACAGTCGGGACCCATTATTGAAAAATATTATGTATTCTTGAACATCTAGACTTTAAAAGCGGGGTCAAGGCAGATGGGACTCAATTTTCGCAAAAATGTGTGAAGTTAAATCAAGTCGTTACCTACGTATATATCTAAATTATGTAAATTTTATAGTAAACTAGCACTTATTCAAAAAGTCTTCTTTTGTTTATGTTATTTTTAGTAGTTAAGCAGTAAATATAAAATCCATTTACTTTTATTCGTATAATATCGTCGACTATTTAAAATTGGCAGTGGCTGCATTGTCATGTCAACGTCCGGCTCTAAGATTGTGATATACACAAATACAGTGTCATATCCTAGTCTCATAATTTGATATAACAACATAATTCACAGAAACCCAATATGCAGATGCCGGAAGTTAACTTCAAATGTTGTTAATCACCCTATAAACAATACCAATCAATGACGTTTATGTTGCGGGTTGAAGAAAGCAGTAATTCCAGTCTGTTGTTTTGGACAATGGTGGCAACTGCCTTAGATAAATAAAATAAATTAAAAATTATGCAATTCCCCTATAGAAGTAGACAGGAACTTGGTTCTAAGCTACAACATCGCAATACTTATAGGCGTAGGGTGACGGAAGGGGTGATTTACCTATAAAACTCTATATTATTTACTTTGAATTTTGCAGATTTATCGTTTATAATTACAAAACCAATATTATCGCAAGCTGATTAATAAATACAGGGATTCCAATAAGTATGTACCTACTACCGAAGTAGTAGTAGTAGTGCGAGTAGCCCATTTTTTTTCTTTTTCGCCTAGGTTTTATCTACGCTTATAAACACAAAAATTAAATTCTTCTTTAAGGCCCGTATTATAAAAAGATTCTCAGTAATTAATCTAGTCTTGAGCAGAGTTATAAAGGGAAGTCACTACATATAGCACATAGCGACATCCCTTTCTAACTGTACTCAAGTAAAGATTAACACTTAGTTGATATTCTGTAATACGGGTCTTAGTATTCCCACAGTCTACTCCTACATAACTACACCGCGCTATCACTTTGTCATCGTTGTAACTTTTTAAATATTTGTCGAAATGACATAGAGTAAAAGGCAAAGTTTATCGTCTTTAAATATCAAAAGCGAAAAAAGTATTTGTTTTGATAAAAAATAATTTGTTAATACAAAATGTGCATTTTGGAAATAGATATCAACACCACCCCTTTCATCACCCTACGCCTATAAGTATTGCGATGTTGTAGCTAAGAACCAAGTTCCCATCTACTTCTATATGGGAATTCATTATATTCGATTTAGCTATTAGGGCACGGAAGCGCAACAAACAAACTCACTCGCATCTATAATATTATATTATACTTACTAGTGATCCACCCGGGCATTGCACGGGCGAAATTTCTTTATCGGAGTAAAATATAGCCTGTCACTCGGACAAAATGTATTTAAATAAAGAAAAATGTTATAATAAATAATGTAGCTACCTTATGTTGAATTAATATTTGAAACCAGTTCAGTAGTTTGACAGATTATTTGTTAC